CCTCTTGTTCCTAAATTACAATGGTGGCGAAGTTTGTCGCCATCCTGCCAAGCTGCACGATTGGCCAGAGTTGAGCATTCATTCGCAAGAGATGTGCAACCCAATGACAAGGAAATCCTAAAAAGAAATAGGCATAGACAACAGGTCAAGTACAGGAAACGGAAATATTACAGACACGTGACCAGGATGAATGGTGACCGGCTGCAATGGACAGTGATGGAGGGAACTGGAAGGTGCTAGGGGAAGAGGAAGATCGCGATCTAACTGGATGTCAAACATATGTATGTTGAACTTCTTTCGCACTGTACGTAGCCAACCGTGCTAACCAGAGGCAACATCGAACACTCCACGGGATGGTAACCGTCTTGGTTGATAGATGCAGCCACGGACAAGAGAGTCGTGGAAAGTGCCCTGCAAGGAGATATCGGCGAAGGAAACTGTCAGGCCCCAACAGCCCCAAGCGCCATGGGGACTGGACGATCAAGACTGACAATCCAAACCATTCCCTAAAGGGGATGATGGCCTGCTCTGTTGTTGCTGAAATGCGCGCAACGGCCAGCGATTGTGGAGATGCTTGCGAGCCTGGCCTTCCGCATGTTTTGCCGTTTGCGTGCGTCCTTGCGCGATAGATGTTGTGGCACGTTGTTTTGTGGTTCCTCCTGTTTCAAATCGCCCCCTTAATTGACACCGTGATGCACGGGCGCACGCTGCAGCCGCTCCCTTGATCAATAACAACGGGGGAGAGGGAGCGTTGCCTCCTTTGCATGCTGCCCTCGGCTGCGACGGTGTGTATCGTAATTTATCACTGCAAGCGGAACGTCTCGTAAATAGCGGGACAGGTGTGCCTGTAATTGTCTTTTTTTCCTGTCCAACCCCACTCGGATGTTGTAGCAATAGCAGCGGTTAGCATCACACACGTACCTACCATTTGAACACCGAATGCTATTTGTTCGTATTTTAAAAATAGAGAGGTTGTCGGCGCACTTGCCCTAAGCAAGGTCACGCATACGGAACATCAATCTGTTCCGAACCTTTGGGGGATTTTTTGTCAAAAGCACCGTAGGCAGATGGCAAGCGTGCCAGGCAAAGTGCTGTGATATTCAGAATTTTCAGCCCTTGCTTTACTTGAGTTTTTTGGAGGAATTTTGGTGTTGGATAATTTAACCTTATGGCAGGACCCCGGCGTCCCGCATAAACAGAAGTCAAAATCGTAATCAATTTATTTTTGGCGACTCCGTCCCACTGCGCACGTAAACGCCGCGACACACCTGGCGCGGATCATTCTGTTGTCGTGTCGTCCAAGCGCATTGGCGAGGACGAATGCGCAGCAGAGCTGAACAAGCGAATGCACTCCATGCTCGGGTATGGGCAGGATCATAAGTCTTATCCAAAGCTGCTCAAACTGCCCTACACGACTTGTGTCCTTTATTTATCATAATAGTATGAGATGCGTTGCACCATTAATTCCTCCCATACTGCGCTCGTATCAATGCGGATAAGAAGAGAGGCGACCCACTACTCTGTAGAGTAACATTGCTATAAACGCCTGTTACAATATGAACAGCGCATTGAAAACGCGTACTATTTTATGTACTGTTTACAAAGTGTGTTCACAAATCCACACTGAGAAACACGATGATTGACAGAGGGGTGTCAATTATTTTTTCGATAGTGTATTTAAATAGAGGTACTGCAGGTAAGTAGTTGTCTGTTTTAATGGTTTAGTTTAACAAGACAACACTTGCCACCATCCTTCAAATCCATTGGTGAAAAAGAGCAAAGTTTTTGTTTACATTATATGTTTACATAATATATATAATGTTTACATTAATATAATGTTTATGCAAGAGCCGGGGGCTGTTAGGACCCCGGGGTCCTGCCATAATGTTCAATTATAAAAGGTAAAGTTAATGGCGCAGCCCAGCAATGTATTGTTCGGGACACTGCTGGCAGAAGGACCTCCACGAAAGTTATCTCTAGAAAGCTCCTCTCGAGGATATTTCTTGCCTGCTCTTCCACACTGGCTAGACATCTTAGACGAGGTGGGAGCCACCCACGCTTTACCATGCACGACCTGCCGATGGACTAACTGCGGTGTACTCATTTACACTGCGGAGTTGACAAGAGGCGGGAAGGTTTAAGAAACCGGCATGATTATTTCATCTTCCACACCGGGAGATTAAACCGGCGACATCTGAATTGTGTGCTATCCGTTAGACCGCGGCAGCTTCCCTTTGGATATGTAGCACAATAAAACTCCCTTGTGGATGAAAGGTTTGCGTATACATTGTACCACGCTGCCTTTAAAGGCCATTGCTCTCTTTATGGTTCCGTCAAGAGTTTTCTGTAGATAGTCGACGGATGGTTTGTTGTGTTTTGCACATGTTCTTATTGTTGGATCAAGTGGGGTTTTTTTGTGGTGGAACGGAAAGCAGTAGATTTTATCGTCTTGTTGTGAGGGCTGAGACATAAAGGGCCAGTCTGATCTTTTTTCATTCAACTTAAAAGCCTGAATTTAAGCCAAATATATTTATTTCCGGGTCAAACGGTGGTTGACACACCATGCTCGGAACACAAAGACCAGAGTTAAGTTCCTGGCCAGGGCTAACATCGGTTGCGAGTGATATTCAAAATGGTCCTGGGCCAGTTCTTATACACACTCGCTCTTGACTTCACCATCCCATGATGCATGGGCTGTCGGTGGGGGGGGGGGTAGGGGTGGGTGGGGTTTGGGGGGGGCTGAGCTTCATCGGATAGTGGATTGACAAAGGCCTGTCAACATGACCATGACAGTCACGACATTGGCGGTCATGATGCTACCATCTGCATGGTGTAATTCGCTTAGCGCTTTCACAGGCACTGTAATGTCGCTGTGCCACTCGGTGAGATATTGACTGAGCCCACTGATTGTGCTGTTGGTCCATTGCAGCTCATGCCTTCCATTCATTTTATTTCGTCGTTGGTGCAGCATTACACCCGTGCTGTCCCGATCCCATTCTGCCTGCCTGTGCTGATATTTCTTCGTTCGCATGAGTTTGCCTCTGCCATATTGCCCGTGCTCCTCCGTGCTGTAAAGCACCCACGTACGTGTGCGCCATGCAAAGCGGAATGCTTAATTCTGGAAGCGACGTTGGAGTGCTGCCATCCAGTGGATAGGGTGGATGTAAACTTATTCGTTTTTTTTGCTCTGTATTGGTGGGGTTTGATTTATAATGTGCAGTACGGCATCGCATATCGGACCTCGTGACATTTACGCCCGAGCCAATTAACCGCTCTTCCCCAGAGCAGTATTTTTGCGTAATTTTCTGTAAATGTTCACATTAGTAGACCTTTTCACACGTGGGTAATATGTTCCTAACCTCATGTACAGCCACTTCGCTTCTGTAGCACCTGTCAATCATTTCGCCCCCATGTTTAAAGCAGCTTGCGCTTTATATCCATTAACCTATTCGTGGGTAGCATAAACTTCCAGTTTTTATAGATGTTCACATATGCGACCTTTTCACATATCCGCCTCTGTCCCATGGCGAGTTGGATGTGCGACGTTATCCCGAGGGGTGAAGGGGAGGGGCGGACGCCAGCCCGTACACCGCGGTCCTGTCACATGCCATCACAAGCCTGCGCCTTGCAGCGGCGTCAAATTGACAGCATGCTCACGAGCACACAGCGCTCGTCTCTTGAGGGAAGAGATTTTCAGACTCGGGTTTGTGCGCGCCTGGGAGATAGGACCTCTTGTGATGGGTAGAGTTGGCGCCGGGCCCCTCCAGAGATGGCCCGACGGTCAGATATTTTTGATCGTGGAAAAAAAACATTTCGTTTCCTTTTTATTGTTTGTTAAAGATTCTATTTGAGAACAGAGTGCGCTTTGCTCCCAAGAGACAAATTCAGGATAACAGAGGATGTGTTTATTTTTGGAGAGTAATTTAATTTGCTATTTTTTTTTAATATATAGGATGAAAACCTATTTTTGGTCATGGTGTCCTGGAGCGATCAACGTGTGTGGTAGAGATCGCTCAAAATTTGGAGGAATGGGTGCTCCGGTGTGTAACGTTAAAGACCAGGCATGTAACGATGCATCGTTTCGTTGATGATTAAAATAAATTGATTCACATGCTTGAAATACATACGTCGCAATGTGTGTGTAAGCATCAATTTAGATTAATATATACGTGCATCATCTTGAATATAGATGTGCCCCAGTGTAGCCCACTCACAATTTATCGTGAGCTCCGCAACATTGGTTGCACCCGCAGAACGTTTCAGCAGACAGGCTTAACGAGAAGTCCCTGATGCAAATGCCAAAACGGGGTTTGCATCAGGGGCCTTCCTGTCAAAGCTGTCCATCAGAATATTCTGCGAGTACATCCATGTTGATTTAAAGCTTTGGTGACTGCAGGAATCCATACTCTCTGGTTCTTTTGGTAAAGTCACGTGGATAGAAAAAAATAACAAAAGAAACGCCACGTTTCGGTCGCAACAAAAGCGTCCGTCTCATCCTCACCTGATGACGGACGCTTGTGTTGCGACCGAAACGTCGCGTTTCTTTTGTTATTTTTTCTATCTATGTGACTTTACCGAAAGAACCACAGAGTACGAGTACATCCATGGTTTGCGATATAATCACAGGAAGGGGTGAGTGGGCTGCACTAGCACATTAGACCCACACAATATGGCCATGTCATAACCCAACCGCCGAACCAACTTATTTGATCAGTATATGTTGTAATTGGTTCACATGACCGTTGCAGCCACTCGAAACGAGCCAGTGATGTATGCCCCAATATGTGCTTGTTTTGGAAGCAGATGTTCCATGGCTTTATGGAAAAACTGAAACAACCTAGAATTTCCTCAGATTTTGTTGATAAAAACAAACTTGCTGTTGATAAAGATCAGCGTATGTGGGAATGGGCATGCTTACATATTGGGACGAATGAAAATGCCCCTTGGAATCTCGTGCGAGCGGTTCATGATCGAGTGGTCCCTTGTGGTATGCCTTGCAGGCACAGACCGTGGAGTGGCATCCTTTTGAAGCACAGACGCTCATCTCTGGCTCCTACGACAAGTGAGTGAATCAAGTGGGAAGTACAATTCAAAGAAAGCGGAGCTGGCTGGGTGGCTCGCAGGTCAGAAACACCAAGGCGGCACCACTGAGATGAGAATAGGTTGGAATCCGAGTTTCAACCACTTGGTGTACTAAACCCAGTTCCCAAATGTAACGAATTCATGGTCTCAGCCCAGTCGTCAATGACTGCACGCACAAAAACATCACATCACGCTTTGTTTTCAGCTATCTTGGCTACAATGTTGGATTGACATCCCTGCGACTGATGTTTCTTCATTTATAAAAGGCGTGTGGGAACTCGTGGATAAGAGACCATACAGGAGACATCGTATTGACTCTAAAGGAAAATAAGTGGGTTGGGTAGAACAAATCGCTTTCGTTTGAAGGCATATGATGGGTGACAGACAATGTCGATTACAACTACAAGTCCACCATGAAAATTAAATGATTAAATTGGTTCATGTGCAGTAGCGAGTTGGATTGTGGCATCAATGGCATCGCTGTTTGGATGCCTTTGTCCAGCATTGGATAGACAATGGCTGATAATAGTGGGTGATGATAAATGGGCATCCCTTTTAAAGTGGAAGGCAGTCATCATCCTGTCATTGGAAGCCGTGCTGAGTGTGATGGCGATGACGGCAACGTTGGTGTGGCTGTGCGCAGGTCCGTGGTGCTGTACGATTGCCGCAGCCCGTCGGACAGCCACCGCATGTGGCGCTTCAGCGGGGAGGTGGAGAGGGTCACTTGGAACCACTTCTCCCCGTTCCACTTCCTGGTGAGAACATATACGCCACTTTACGCTAAGACCGTGCGGACCAGCGTGGGCCCACACTCATACCGCTTTTCCACTGGCACATCTAAGCCATGCCAGTGTGGGGGCCTCACGGTACGGGTGGTCCTCCGCTGGCTGTTTGCAAAGCTGAGCCGCAACAAAACCGTGAAGTTCTGGCCTCTCAAGACATCTGAATCTGGCTCGGGCCCAAGCAGGTCCAGGGGCAGGGACAATAACTTGATTCATCGCATGTGACGTTAGCCAGCATGGCTCGGGTTCTGCAGTGGAAAAACAACCTGGGGTCGTCTTTAGCTGCGCCGGGCCGCCTCGGCACTGGTCCGGCGTGACTTGGTTGTACAGTGTAAAAAGAGGTACGAGACGTGACTCGAGCCTTGACTGGAACACTTTGTTGCGGCTCCCGTGCTTAATGGCAGTGACGAATGGCGCTGCTATAATAATGGCAGCGATGATGACAATGACAGTGATGATGCGTGTGATGCAGGCCAGCACAGACGACGGCTTCGTGTACTGCCTGGACGCGCGATCGGATAAGTCCGTCTTCACCCTGCAGGCGCACGAGGAGGCAGTCACGGGTGATGAACACACGGACGTACGCACATGCAGACACCGCCATGGCCACGGGCGTCTTGACGCGCGGCAGCCACGCACGCTCCGTAATTTAACATCGCTGGCTATTATTGAGCTCTCTCGATTTCCCTAGGCGGGCAGTTACATCTAATGAGGACTTCACGTGCCTACATATTTGATGTTTGCTTCTAGTTGTTTTTATTGTCTTGAGGTGGGTTTTTTGTGTTGAGCCAAGGTGGGAGAATGAGTCCCTGATTTTTTACAATTCTTATTATTGCTGCACCAAGTAACTGATGGTTTACTTGCTCTGTGAAGCCATTCTGAGGCATTCTCTGCTATTAAAAAAACAACAAAACTCTGGCCAACATTCGTGTTTTCCTTGGCGGTTCGCTACGAAATCAATATTCCCAGTATTTGTACAAGCGTCGTGAGATGCGGCCGCGCTTACACGCTAAATAAATACAAGTCGTAGTTTAACTGTATTTAGATAATTTTTTTCAAAAGCCATTCTTTTCTCGTTTTAGTCTCACATTGATATTTATTTATTTTTACCAAAACGGGCACGGCAGAAGTAACAATACGAATTGCAACGTTTGTCTTGGAATGCAGGGCTGGTGCTGAGCTCGCAGGTAAAGGGCTGCCTGGTGACCTCCTCTGCCGACAAGCACGTCAAGGTGTGGGACATCCTGGCCAACAAGCCCAGCCTGGTGCACTCCCGTGACATGAAAATGGTAACGACCTGGCGTTGACGCGTGCAACGAGCGTACACGATCTCGTGGGGTTTTTTGGTTTTCCAGCTGTGTGCCTCTTTTTCAGAAGAGTCCTGGCCACAAATGATCGCTCAACGAAGTGGCTCATCGCGTGGAAATGTCTAGCAGCCAAATACTCTTAAGCGCATGTTTCTGAATGTGGAGGGAAAACCTGGAGGACCCGGAGAAAAAAAATACACGGGACTTCGAGGAGAACATGCGTGCTCTAAATATACAGCAGGTGTCAAGGTCGGGATCGAACCCACAACCTCCTGTATACCAGGCGAGGTAGTTAATATCCATACTTGTCAACCCATACGGTTTACCTGTATAAGTTTCAATGGCTCACAGCAATAAACGTACAATTATAGCCATAATTAGCACACAGGCTTACACCACCGATATTATTCGTAATAACGTGTTCGTGTTTTTGGGTTAGATCGCATAAATACATATGTGTCGTAAACCCACCTCCAGCCGACATAGGCATTCAGTAAGATTTGTCACATTAGCAAAACTTGCCAATTAGTTACTACATGAGCGAAACGTTCCAATTAGTTACTACTTCAACACACCGGATTGTTGGAGAGTAAACCTACAACATTTACAATTTGAGTACTGTAACTTTTGCTGGTGATTACAACCAGCTTCATTGTGGAAGTCACAGACCTGTCAACCCATACGGTTTACCCGTATTCTTGTACGGGGAAATTGAGTTTTCAGGTCCATACGGTGTACAGACGTTTCAATACGGGCAACAACATTGTCTGTTTGTGTTCTCCCTTGTGATGGGACTTTATAGGATGAACGTTAAGATTTATAAGGGCACGGCGTGACAAAATAAGGTCTGAATTGGTCTGTAATAAGGTAGGCACTGATAAGAGGTTGACAGGTATGAACATCTCTCCACTGTTGGAAACGCTGCGACCGCCACTGTGCCATTTTTTAACGAAGCGTCTGCACGTGTCCACCAGGGCATCATCTACTGTGGCAGCTGCAGCCCCGACAGCCCCTTCACATTCGCGTTCGGAGGGCAGAAGGATGGCCTGCGTGTGTGGGACATCACGAACGTGAAATCAGGTGATTATCGGAGGATCATAACGCCCATGGATTTGTCTTTTTCTTATTTGCTCGAGTGTATATGTATCGAACTGGGCTTTCCGATTATGTAATTTAATAGATTACTCTAGCGAGTATCGGTTCGATTGCTTTACTCGTACGATGAAACGAAAGCGGTTGGGGAGAAAAATACCGACCTCTGTTCTCACATGTGCCGTTGGATGCTAGGTTATGGACGCGGCTTGATGACATCGTTAGCTGGGTGTGCATTGTAGGGGGCAGAATGTGGGAGTGGCCTCTATTTTTAATAGACCTGATTAATTGACCACAGAAGGTGATTTACGAATTTTGGTCGATTGCCTTAATCGACTAATAGCCCCATCTCTATCTGTGTGCGTAAGTGCTTCACAGAGAAGTGGCCCAGGAGCTCAGAGTGCCAAGCTAGCATCGCTAAGTGTCCGGGCAGCTATCCTTTGCTTCAACCGGTTTCTCAAGTGCACCAAGTCAATGGTTTTTTGGCTGGTCAACAATAACTGCACAATAAAGCCATCATATTAAATATGATTCTTGGACTTAAATTTGGATAAATTTAATTGCGGAGAATGAACAAAAAATCATCAGTTTTAGGGTCCTACGTCAGTCAAGTCGCAGAGGGTATGAGAAAGTGTAACATGTTTATTGCATTTGACAATCGGAATGAATTATGGTGGAAATTTTTTTTAAAACGTATTAACCTTAACAAAAAATACTTTCACTGTATTTACATGACACCAGTAAGTAGAACCCTTTGAAGACAGCAGTAGCCCCTAACATAAATAACCATACTCTTTGATGAATAGGGCCACTAGACTACACAGGGATGGGACAACTTCAAAACAAGCCTGTTTGCTTTGACATTTCAAACATCTGACAACCATTGTTGAGACTGCCTCTCATATGTACATCCGCATGATAAAGTCAAGGTTTGAATGTTTACACCTCTGTAAGCATTCAAACCTGCACAATGTTACGCACAATGTATTTCTGATTTTGCTGATCCCAATGTATATTGGTATGTTTAAAACAACAATCATCATGCTCTTTAATTATCCAGGAAAAACCTCAGTAAGTCTGAAGACTAATTTTTTCAACAGGGAAATTCGACCAGTTTTCATTACTGAATGTTTGGCTTGTGGGAGAAAACAGGAGTATTTATTGCATTTATTTATTGCAAACCCAGTGTATACAAGTGAAGTACCGTGAAGCTCCACGCAGATATATTCAATCATCCAATGCTGCACTGCCACCTATAGCCACCTTGCAGCCCAAGCCTACTACTCCTGGCTATTCCCAAACGGCTTCGCATCCACGCTCGAGAAAGCAGACTCAACCCAGCTTCGGTTCCTAGATCGGACGAGGTCGGCTGCATCCACAGTGACTTTGGCTGTAAGCTTGTGTTTATTTATGCTCTTTGTGAGCTCTGGGTGATTTATGAACTCGACGTTTCTATTTCCCCGCTTCAGTGCAAACGGCGTTCGGTTCCCGGGAGAGGCTGTTGGTGTCCCAGCCAGATGTGGATGCCTCTCCTTCAACATCCTCGGACTCTGCACCCATGGAGAGCTGAGACTGGGATCCAAGGGACGAGTGGATTCTTATTCTGAGCGCGACAAGATTTATTTTTTGTGTTTTTTTTTTGCCTTGCACCACCCCACGCTATGAATTTAAATCTCTTGAGTGGTGCTTGTGGACAAGTGCTCAGCGAGGCCCCCTCTGTGCACGGGTGTAGGAAAGAGCTGCAGTTTATCTCTGAAGTTTCAGACCGTTGAACATTGATGGAGCCAAAGTACTTTGAGGACCAACTGGGAGCTTCATCCAGGTCCCCTGCAGGGTTTAGGTTCAGACTTCTAAATTTTACAGCCTCATATAAAAGTAAAAAAAAATCTATCGTCTTTCCAGAGCCCTGCTGAATGTTGACTTTTAATCTTTGGAAATGTTTAAATAAAATACGGAAATGTTTCTTCATTTTGAAAAACACTATATTCTTGTTTGTGTTCTTCTCATTGGGTAGTGTTGAATGAGGAACACCTTGTCCTTTGAAGATATTAAAAAGAGGTTATCACTCTATAATCCACCACTTATATCAATTTATATAGTGCCTTGCAGAATGGTAAGGGGATATATAAACAAATTTGGATTTAAAGCTATCGTGACTGCAGCAATTCATATTCTTAGCTCTTTTGGTAAAGTCACGTTGAAGGGAAACAATAAAATAATGAAATATATATTAAACAATAAAACATTCTAACGACGTTTCGACCATAACACAAACGGTCGTCACCTGATGATATTAATGATGACGACCGTTTGTGTTATGGTCGAAACGTCGTGAGAATTTTTTATTGTTTATATATTTTATTATTTTATTGTTTCCCTTCAACGTGACTTTACTGAAAGAGCTAAGAATATAATATATAAACAGTTTGAAATACATAAAATCTGTGTGGCATTACACCACCGAATCAGGGCTACGGTGCATGGTCATTAATTTATTTCAGCCCTACCCAATCCACTGCTGGATGAAGCCTTCCCCACGCACTGTCAGTCATGAAAGTTGTTGACCATACATCACCACACTGGTCAGTGTGGGTTGTGGTGAAGGTTGAAGGTGACTAGGACCGGTTCAGTCATCACTCGCCAATGATGTCAGCTTTGCGAGAACTCCAAATTCGGGTCACTGGGTTTATAGTGCAGTGTGAGAACCGCTGCACCGTCACAATAATTCAGGTGGTGTACTTGTGTATTGAAAGTGAAACATGTTTGAGATAGTTTACTGCTAAAACGAGCGTGGGGAGCATCATCTCTCTACATTTCCATAAGACTGGTTTGAAGTGTTTAGATTTGCACCTTCGTAATGCCCATTTTCCCGACCAATAGCCTTGCAAGTCCCTAGCCTTGAAAAAAAAAGAGCCTGTTAAAATAATTTTAATGTTATGTCCATGTTTTTCACGTATGGAGCTATTCACAAGGAGATGCTCCTCATACAATAATTGAGGGGTGTCATGCAACGCGTATTGACCCACTCGAAAGCTGTTTTTTCTTTGTTAAGAGGAGATGCATTGAATGGCTCAAACGGCCATATGTGGGGATATTACAATAAAATAAACTATCAAAAAAGAATTGTCGTATATGTCCATGAAACTCGTTTGAGTTGTGTGAGTTACCAAAGCTTACCAGCACATCTGTAATTGTCAATGGAACTGCATTGCCCTGAGACAGAGACACATGCACAGAGAAATGCTCCCATTTATCCAGGAAAGCCACAGCGAGTCTCAAGACTCTTGGAAGGGTCGTAAAACGGAGTGTTTGATAAAGATAGTTTTGGCTGAAGGTCACTAAAGCGTCTTTAAGATTCTTCACATCCATCCATTAATGATGCTCATAGAATCAGAATAATATACCTTTACGACAGTTAAAGCCTGAGCCTCTAAATTTAGAGTACCATAGCCAGATAAGATCACCTAATATATACAACAATCCAAATTGTCTATATCGTGTCTTTTTTGGTACCAACAATGCATAGTATGTTGCACCATCCACAAACTACTCAAACCTGCACTGACCAACGTGATCATTCATGATCGACCCCAATAAACCTACACGGCCTGGGGAGACCACCCAGCAGCTGTATATGTGCATACATATCCTTATACGTAAGAACTTCATTTGGCAGTCAGCTCTTCACGTCAATGAACCAGGAACCCATAATATTTGTGAGCTCTGTTCAACCTTTTACCAAGGAGGTTAAAACGCAAACTCGCCGAAACTGCATTCCACAGACGTGTAAGCTATTATACCTCCTGAAGAGGGCAGCAGTGACTTGCAGGGTGGAAGAAGCCAAACGTGTGACGGTCCCTTCTCCGTGCAATGTAACTTTCACCAATTATTGGGTGAACTAGATCAGTGCTTCGCAACCTGCGTGCTTGCGGCATTTTTTGAATTGATCAACAGACACAAAGACAATGAAGAATCGGAATCTGTATTTAGACAGGAGGAATTCGATGAGCTGTAAAGCTCTTTTTCACATGTCCAGCCAGTACGGGCGCGTCGGCAAGTTACAACAACAAACAATATAAAAAAAAGATAGGAGTGAAAAATAAAATAACAGACACGTGCATCGACGTAAAACAAATAGACGAAACATTGAAATGAACCGATTAAATAAAGGACGCCCCCCTCTGGCTTTGCTGAGCCTATACCCCCCCCCCCCCGCTGTCCGGGTAATAAAATCCGAGCCTCACGCGGTCTTGGGCCCCGACGAGGCCTGGAGAACACGCGGTAATCAAGGGGAGAGCGACACGATTGTGGAAATTCAGTGTTTCCATGACGGAGCCAAGTCTGTCCCCTAGCGGCGTATCACCTGAGAGGCGCGCGCTTATACACAGATCATCGTCATCAGCCATGGGCAATCCACTGCTTCATGAGTGACGCACTGCAAGCGTGCCATGAAATGAAACAGGTTGACATGAACTTAATAAGTGCTGTATGTGAGATTTTAAGTGACAGGGTTGTGGAGGACAGAAGCCTATAAAGGCTTTACTGCACGCATGCAATAGTGTCATTTAGGATTATAGCTCAGAAAAATGATCACCCGTCCACAGAACGGACAGGTCCCGGCTTGTGTATGCCATTCATCATCAGCCATAGCCTATCCGCTGCTGGATTGAAGGCCTCTCCCAATGTTATTTCCATCTCTCAACGGCTCTGCTGTACAGCAATCCATCTCGCTCCTGGCCACGAGCCTCGTGCATTTTTTTTTCTCCTTTTGCTTGGCGTTTGAAAAACAAAGGCAACAGGGTTACAATTCATAATTACATTTTTTTTGTGTGAGATCGCGTAAATGTGTCGCAAACCCAGAAGGACGTTTCACTGGTTTATTACAACCAGATTCATCAGGCGACTTCATACCTGTCAACCCCTTATCAGTGCCTACCTCATTACAGACCAATTCAGACCTTATTGGTCACCCCGTGCCTTTATAAATCTCAACGTTCATCTTACAAAGTCCCATCACAAGGGAGAAATACAAATAAATAAATAACAATTGAATGCCCTAATTGGAACGGCTATACGCCGTATGGTCCTGCACACTCAATGACCCTGTACAAGAATACGGGTAAACCGTATTGGTTGTAATTACCAGCACAACTTCACGGTAATAAAATTGTAAATGATGTGGGTTTACACTCCCAACACACCAAACAAACCGGTGTACTGATTGCCTGTGTCGGGTGGAGGTGGGTTTACGACACATTGATATTTATATTTACGTGACCTAAACCAAAAAACACGTTGTTGCGAAAAATATCGGTGGCGAAAGCCTGCGTGTTAATCATGGCTTCAACTTGCACGTTTAATGTTGTGAGCCATTCCTCGGCACTCGGAGTAGTAAGCTGAGTGGAGTAACAACAACAACAACCGCCATTCGCCACTAAGTGGCGGTGACATCACCACGGCGCTTGTGCCAGGCCACGTGCACCTTGAAGCCCGTGACACGTGCGCCGCCGTCCAACTCCACACGCGGTGGCGTCGCGTTCGCTCGGTCGTTTTGAACGGGGGCGGCGTGGGGGGCGGGGCGATATGTGGGGGTCGGTGTGGGGGGCGGGGCGGTGTGGGGTAGCGGTGTGGGGGGGGCGGGGCGATATGAGCGGGGCGGTGGGGGGATGGGGGGGGAGACCTCGTGACGCGCGGCGCTTATCCACACTACGTATTGTAAAGGCGCGTGAGAGCATCTCGCTTCACGCATCCCCCCCCAGCACATAGCGACCATCGTGGGGTGGTGGTGTTGGTGGTGGTTCTGTGGTGGTGGTGCTGTGGTGGTGGTGCTGGTGGTGGTGTTGGTGGTGGTGTGGTGGTGGTGCTGTGGTGGTGCTGTGGTGGTGCTGTGGTGGTGCTGGTGGTGCTTTGGTGGTGGTGTTTTGTGTTGGTGTTGTTGGTGGTTGTGAAGCCGGAATTTTGTCGGGACTGGACGGGGTTAAGACATGGACGCGGACGGACTCCCCATAGTCGGCACTGGGACGGATTTGACCAAGGTGAGGAGTTTTTGTGTTTCTCTTTTAGTTTTGCTTTGCCACGATTCAGAACTGCGACGAAGGCCTCGGGTCCCGTTGTCGTCAACGGCGAGGGCCCCCCCCTCCTCTCTCCCACAGCTGAGTTCAGCAAACCTCCGTGTCAGGGAAGGACTTTACTCGTTTTGTTTAAAAAAAAAACCCTTCATCTCGAGCGCTCACACCGCAAGCGTCACGGCTCTTGTGGAATAAAATGTTTGTTATCGACGAGTTTTATTTGCCACGAATTCGAACAACAACAACAAATGTCCCTTGGTTATTTTGATTGTCGAGACGTGGTCGAGCTTGCCGGTGTTGAGTACAGTACGAGATGTGTGGTCGGCGGCGGCGTCGTCGTGAGCCGTGATCATCCACTGCTGGATGGATGAACACCCGTGTCGGTCATGCGGGTCGGTTTGACCATACTTCACCACGCTGGTGTGTGTGCGGGATGCTGAAGGTAGCGGACTGGGGGTGCAGGGGGGGGGGAGTTGGTTTCCACGTCCGGTTCAAATGTCCAGGGTGGTCCAGATGTCTTGTGACCCCCCCCCCCCACACACACACCATTTGCACGATCTAAAAACTTGATAATTTTTTAAAGTAAGGTTTATTTTAAAACAAATTAATATGTAAAGGGGGAAACATGTTAGGGGTCAATTCATTGTGGGCCACAAGACATCTAGACCACCCTGTACAGTGACAACTCGCCACTGATGTATATATGGCGACTATTATACACTCGTGGACATTTTATACATGATAAATAATACATCTAGCATAAGAGACAGGGTTATATATGTTAATATATCAATAATGTACACTTTCCACACCAATGGTTGCACATTATAGATGCGCAATGGGTTACCAAGCCTGCATCCTCTGTAGTCACTGTACCACGTTACGATCCACCTTCCCATCTAAAGTACTTACTAGGACCACGTTACGATCCACCATCCCATCTAAAGTACTTACTAGTAAGTACTATACAACGTTACGATCCACCTTCCCCTCTCTTTGCTTCGATTTAAGTACTTTGGATGTTACTGTACGTTCTGTGGTTTTCAGGAACGCATCCTCGTCGTATTCCGGGGTATGCTTGTACATGTAAACATATATACATGTAGTGGACACCCCATGTCTTAGCAACCCAAAAGACCCGCAATTAAAGTATAAGCATCCGCCGTTACGTAACTCCAGTTGTGCGAGTCTCTCTCGCAAAAAACAGGTCCCTGCAGGGTGGGCTGGTAGGAACATTGGAATTTTTCACTTCGTTAAAGTATTGAAAGGGGACGGACGGACGGACACATTAATCTATTGCAGGCTGGTACACTCAGTTTACAACTTCGTTCCTACCAGTATAAACTCAATTGTCTCCGGTTGATTGTCACGTGGTTATATAATTGGATGCAGTAGGGGGCAGCACTTTCCCACCAGCCCTGCCACTTCGAGTGCAACGGCCGTGAGCCACGTGAGAGGTGGGGACAGGGAACGTCATTTCCACCGTGCGTCCTTTGACGTTTGCGGCGGTGACTCCGCAGGTTGGGGCCATCAACCAGAAGCGGACGCTGGCGTTCCTCAACCACTTCATCGTGCACACCACGCACTTCCTGAACAGGTTTTCGTGCGTCTGCGAGGAGGTACGGCAGCGTCAACGGCACCCCCGCATTCGCCTCCCATAACGCCGCGCGTTTTAATTCCTCCCCCCCTACACGCGAATTGGATAAGGCGCGATTGATGTATTGGGGAACACATTTTTTTTGTTTTATAACGCGGATGCGAATCGGATATAACGCGATTTGAGCGACCAGAAATTAACAGGTTGCAACGGCTGCCACGGAGTAGCATCGCACAGGGCGGGATGCTGCTGGATGCTACATGCGGACCTCAGCCCTTGTTCAGCCTGCATATACGCATCTCACGTGTTATCGCGGACTGTTTTACCCTACATTTATTATAACGAAATTTCAACTAAAACGCGGTGTTCATCAAGAACGCAACTTGCGCGTTATAGGAGAACGGACTGTACTAGTTCAACAGCTGTCCGCATCACTCTCGACATCTGTTACTGGCTGGCTGCATCCCACAAATCGCATGCAAATGATTGGCCCACGTTGGCCTAATGTGTTACCGACTTACACACTTTGTTTTTGTCCCCTCTCTTTGGACCTAATTTATTATGCACACAATGATTCACTCGGCGAGTGATTCATTAAATTGTCACAATCTGGGATAATGATTTTATTCGAGAATCAATGTTTTTGTTTCATTGGTCTAATTTGTATTGTTTCTCATTTTTGTGTAGTTTTGTTTGCGCTGACAGCCTATATGCAATAGTATGCATGCGATTAGTTGATTGAATGGTGAGCGTGAGATTGGATTTTAATTGATGTATCAGTGTGGCGTTAAATGCCTACATTTTAGACGTGAAGTTTCGTTCTCTTTATGGATAAAAATGTACGTGATTTCTCTTTTTTTTTTACAGAAACTGACCAACCTGGCGCTCCGTATACAGCAGATAGAAACCACTTTGAACATCCTGGAAGCTAAAGTGAGTCTTGTGATGCATCTGACCATGTCCACTGGTTCATTGTTATTGTGCAAGCAGTAAAGTATATTTAATTTACTTTAAGCTCATGGCAACAGTGTTAGGCCGTATGCCATTGCTCAGGATTGTTAATTTTCACATGTTCCTCTTGTGTGGAAATGTGCATGACTTTTTGGCCACCAGATTTAAAATAATTCCATCTGCTTGCAGGGAGCGGCTGGGCAATAATATGTTTAATTGCGCTCAATGTGATGTCATCAATTGTTCATTATTGCAACCGCCCGTAACGTCCACCATAGCTCTAAATATGTTTCCTGGATGTATTGTGTAAGCTTTTAGAAAGTAATGTAGTGCAGAAAAAATTGTAAGGCCCATTTGTAGTGTAAAATTATGTTAATGGTGGAGTGGTGGCATAGTGACTGGCACACTGTGCTGTAGACCCAGTGACTTGGGTTCAGTTCAGTCTCATGACTTAAATCAGTGGAGAGTGATATCTGAATTGGTCCTGGGCACCCCAGCCTGCACTGTGGAAGTATGGTCAAATATCCTCCACCCGCATAATGTGTGAAGGCCCTCATTGAGCAGTGGGTTGATAAAAAGGCTGTCAGTTTTATATATATAGTATTTCTATGTCTTTACACATTTCACACTGCGACCTGTATTTCCACATGAGTACTGAGTGAGTTTGTGTGATTGTTCAGCTCGGGCGGTCCTGCACAGATGCCATATTTTCTGTCCGTCTGCTACAGCAGAGGTGTAGGGAATTCCAACAAGACCTACATCTCTGCTTTATTGACCTGGTCAAGGCCTATGATACCATCAGTAGGCCTGGGCTCTGGGTCGTTCTTCGTGCTTTTGGAGTACCTGACCCTCTGCTCACGATCATTAAGGACCTTCATGATGGTGAGCGGGCCCGGGTAAAACTACGTGGCCGGGAGTCAGAGCCATTCCCTGTACACCTTGGGGTGCGACAGGGATGTCCTCTGGCTCCCACATTATTTAACATCTATTTTGACCACGTAGTTCGTGAAGCCTTCAATAGCTGTACCGGGGGAATCTCCATATGGTACAGATATAATGGGAGGCTAATCGATGCCCGGGTGCGGTCAAGGGATGGCTCCCTATTGCTCAACCACGTTATGTATGCTGATGACTTGGTAATAGCTGCTCAGTCAGAGGAGGAGTTGCAGACGCTGCTGCTGAGACTGGAGCGTGCCACTAAGAGGTGGGGCCTTACCATCAGCCCCACCAAAACTAAGCACCTGCCTGGGTATTTTGTACCATCGGACACTCCACCCCCACAACTCCCAATCGGTGATGGGGCAGTTGTGGAGAGAGTGGAGAGTTTCCCATACCTGGGCAGTGTGCTTATGACTGGCTCCAGTTTAACAGCAGAGGTCTCACTCCGAATCAGTCGAGCGGCAATATCTTTTCATCGGTTGCGTAACGCTGTGTGGAAGCTACCTGGTCTGTCGCTCCGCACTAAGCTTCAGGTCTTCTCGGCCACGGTCATTCCCTCCCTTCTCTACGCTTGCGAAACGTGGACCCCCCTAATGGAACATCTTCGCCGGTTAGAAACATTTAGGCTGACCTGCCTACGATCCATCCTGGGTTTAACCAGACTGGATTGTGTGAGGAGCTCACAAATCCTTGAAAGATCTGGGCAGGGTCCCATCGGTGAGCTCCTCCGGCAGGCAAGGCTGCGATGGCTGGGTCATGTAGCCCGCATGCCCAGCCACCGCATGCCGAAACAGCTTTTGTTTGGCCGGATTGAGGGGGCTAAGCGGGCGCGGCACGGGCTAGAGAAGAGATGGAGTGATGTGGTACAGGAGGACGTGGAGCTGAGTGGACTTGCCGATGACTGGTACCAGCGGTGTCAAGATCGGCCTCTGTGGAGGAGGCTCGTGAAGGATGCTACTGGGCAGTTGGAGGCAGTCGCCCTCCAACAACAACGGAGGGCGGAGGAGCGACGCTCACAACAGCGAGCGGAGCGCCGGGTGGCTAAAGCACAGCAGGTTGGCACAGTAGGGGGCACAGGTGGTGCATCAGCCAGTCATCTCAGTCATCTCAGTCAGTCGACCCGTGGCACCTGGGTCTGCCCCGTGACCTCCTGCCAGCGGGCGTTCGACACTTCACGTGGCCTCAGGGTGCACATAGCCTGGCACAAGCGTCGTGGTGACGTCACCGCCACTTAGTGGCGAATGGCGGTTGTTGTTGTTGTTGTTCAGCTCGCTTCCATCCCTGGGCTGGAGGACGTGAAGGTGGAGACATCAAACGTCGCAAACCCTGTACCTCAAGAAGCACCGCAACCTAGCGCCGTGAATCAGCTGCCGATTCCAGCCCAGCCAGTCCAAGCAGCACCCGGAGTTTCTGAGGTGATTATTATTAAAAGCTTCCTTACCTAGGTAAGCCTCGCTGAGGCCTCAAGATTCGTTTTGAGGAGGGTCTTGTCAAGTTTTTGCAGTACAGGGCGATGTTGTTATGTGTAATTCCAGTTGAGTAATACGTAAGTATTTTTTTTTGAAAAGCGATGTTGGCCTTTATGTTTATTTTTTAGGGAAGTACTTAAATACCTTCCTGGTGACTGGGCATGACTTGTCGCAATTTAAAAAAAAAGGCATTGGAAAAGCTTGCAGCCCTGCAAACCCTAACATTGATTCACCAGCGATGCTATGTGCCGTGATGTATTTTTATGAAGGCGTGATGCTTTCGTTTTTAATGGAGTTCCACATTTTTGTTGTTTGACCAGTTTTATTGTTCATGTAAGTGGTCATGGTCAATCTCTGAAGCCATGAATAATCTGTATAAATGGTTTAAGTTCCTATTTTGAAATGTTAAGATGTTATACGTTAAATTGGTATATCAATAATTGATGGACATTAATTTAAATCCATAATAAGGGTTTTTTGGGTTAGATCGCGTAAATATATAAATGTGTCGTTAAACCCGCCATCACCCGACACGGCTAATTAGTAAGGGTTGTCACATAAACAGAACATTCCAATTTGTTACTAGTACAGCACACCGGTGTGTTGGAGAGCCAAGCCACGACATTTACAATCTGAGTACGACGTTTCGCCAGTAATTACAACTAGCTTCATCAGGTGACAGCCAGATTTGTGGAGAAGTCCTCCTCGCGTAAATATATATTTACGTGATCTAACCCAAAAACCTGTATTATGGATATTGGTCGCGAAAGCCTACGTGTTAATTATAATGCGAGTCCATTCGTTTCAAATGATAGCCATGTTTTCACTTGAACTGCTGCCCTATCATAGATGTGCTCAATGGCAAAGTACTGCACTCTAGCCTAGACTGGGAGCTCGTGCATGAACTGCTAGGTGCACAATTAATTAATTCAATGCAAATCAGAACCAAAACACTGAAATCGTCACCAATCCCCTGGCTTCCTGTTCTGCCAAACATTCTGCCACCAAATATTTGCAGAGAAATGCAAACTGCAAGGGAGTTTACGTGTTTTCTTGACTATGACAACCTAATCATCAACCAAGACCTCCACACTGTACCCCGCCATCGCCTCAGATTCCAATCTCCCTTTGGGATCTTGCTGCTGTCACCATCCTAGAATCTTACTCGGATCTGGAAGAACGCTAACGAACCGAGTGGAACAATGCGGACATCCAGAATTAATGACTCCTTTTAAACTTAACCATTGCACCTCCTGGCTTTGACGTTCTTCCTCAAAGACACTGGTGTAACCATCAACCGCATCAGAACATCAACAGGCTGATGCGCACATCTCCTTTACAAATGGCTAACTAAAGACACGAGCCACAAAGTGACGGTGACCATGCCACCCAAACTATGAACCATATAGTACATCACTGTAGTCTGCACACCTTTTAAGGAGAAATAGCAAAACTACACAAACTGTCCTGAAGCCCTCTTGTGGAGAGAAAACATTGGCATTTAGCGCCTAAAAATATTTACATATTCAAGAATAGAATTTGAAAGTGCCTATTTTAACTACCATAGACGAGTGACAAGGTGGTGCTGTGCTTAGCTTGCTGCACTATGAACCCAACAAACTTAAGTTTTATTTGTAGGCACGGTTAATATAAGTGGCCTATGATTGATATCTGAACCACTCCTGGTTCCCCCATCACCAGCTCGCACTCACCAATGTGTTGAAGTGTAATCAAACAAGTCCAGTGACCGAGAGTGTGGAGAGGCCTTCATCCAACAGTCGGTTTGACAAAGGGCTGTAAATTATTTTATCGTATCTATTTGGTGTTAAATACATTTTTACATTTGGCAGATACTGTTTAGAGGTGTACTTGTCCACAAGTAGTGAGAACGGGCAAAACCGGTGAATTTCGTGAGTGGCTGTTTCACATCTGGCGTGTGTGGCTATCTTTTTTTTCAGCAGCCACGGACTGAAGTGGCAGAGCCGCCTGCTGCTCTGCCAGAGGCTCCTCCGTCCAACGTTCTCACTGTGGCCAAGGACCCTCGCTATGCCCGCTACCTTAAGATGGTTCAAGTGGTGAGTGCTAAAAAAGTACATAAAACGCGGGCAGCAGCGTTAACCACGTGGTCCACGGTTTGAGGTCGTGGGTTATATAATTATCATTCTTTATAAGTACACATTGTGCACGGTGGTCCAGATGTCTTGCGACCCCCGTTTAATACTGTAAAACGTAATATTTTAAGGCTTATTAAGGACAGAAATGAACACTCTTTCGCATAGTACGTAGCCAACGACTGCTAGATGCAGGTTTCTTCAAGCTGTTGCCATCTCCAATGCTCTGGCGATGTAATCATTAAATTAGTACCTATGCATCAGCTGCTTTCCTGACTCCATCTCCGCAGTGGACGTACTTTCGGGTGCCTTTTCTACCCTTGGCTGTCACTTCATCGTTAGTCGCAACCACTGTCCATCATCCCGTCTAGCGACGTGTCCTGCCCAAGCCAACGTACTTTACTTCACAGTCAATATGATGTCTCTGAACTGTGCTGAGTTTGCTCTTTCTGTATCAACATTATTCCATGCAAGCACCACTCCATGCTTCTCCACTAATGTAATCCAAGTGAGAGGAAGGTCGCCTGGGTCAAGCTGTTGGGTTAATAATGCTGTCTACAGGAGATTTCCCAAATTAATGCTCCCCATTTTTTTCCAATAAAATTGTATTGCTTCCATTTAAACCTTTGCGCATTAATTTTTCATTAGTATGACACCTCTGTATGAGATTCCCTCAACTCCACCAACAGGGCAAAGTAAATTGCATTAAAGCTATTGAGTGCTTAGTTTGAACCGTTCCTTTTTGTGCATGGGGTAAAAACGAACTTCAAGCAAAGGATACGGCATTCTTTCAAAACAAGTGTGATATCAAAGGACCTCCAATACAGCATTTGGGCATGGCTGGCATTCCCCAATGCTACATGTGTGTTCCAGTGTATGAAGCATGGAGCAGTGATTGAATTAATCACAGCTGAGAGAATATTGGGCGATGAATTAAGAAACCTGAGTTTAATTCATTGGCACCTTGAGGTTTTGTCATGGGGCTTATTGTGTTGGCGTGAGCACAGTGACGAGTGGCCTATTTGGGCTAGCTTTTGAACGAGCGCTGGTCACCACGGTGGGGTGATGGGGGCTCATTATAATTGCAGTAACATTGTTAGCTGCAGTGTCAATTATAATGATATTGTGATTACAATTGATTACGAATGATGCAGTTGCAATTGTTATTGGGCCCCAGGTCTGCTCATAACAAATGGTTATGTGATGCTGACGAATTGTAGTGTCACGATGGAATACTGACTTCCTGATTTGCATGTTACCGCAAGTGCTTGAGATGGAATGGAGATGATAAAAACAATTTGCCAAATGTTTATGACATTGCCATGAATGAACATCTAAAGTTTTCTTATCAGTTGTTTTTAAAAGCAATTGAGGAAGAAAAAATAGGTGATGTTACTTTGGGATACCCCTCATACAAACTGTTAATTTACAAGTTATCCTTAAAACCAGGGGCGGAGCCAGGGGGGGTGACAGGGGTGACATTCTGCCTATAAGTGTATGACACTCGGTCTGGCGGACTCCGTGCAACTGCATTGTCAGAGTGTGTCGCCAATTGATGGCGTCTAGTTGACTCTCTAATCATTCTTGAAATTAAAATTTGTTGAATGTCACCCCGGCCTGAAATCCTGGCTCCGCCCCTGCTTAAATCACATAATCATAAGAATCTTCAGGATATGTGTGTTTTCTCTTTGTTCGTCTAGGGTGTTCCTGTTTTGGCGATCAGGAACAAGATGATCGCTGATGATCTGGACCCAGAGCTCTTAAAGTAAGTTCAGAAAAAATTGTAGAATTGTGAAACTGAGCATCTGCTGTCTTTTGTTTGGGGATGCAGCAAAGCAAACTCACTGCGTGTGTGTCTGTCTGTATGTCACCAGCACTCCCGATGCTCCTGTGCCCGACTCTGGAATTTCCCAAAAGGCTGAGTCAGACTCGGGCGAAGCAAGCAGCGATTCTGAGAGCGGGGGCTCCTTCAGTGACTGAAGTCCACATTACGTTCATATGCAGCTGTATTCTAGGGGATTCAAATGCTGTGTACGCTCTTGAATGGATGCCTTCATTGACACCACTCGGCACACACATAAATCCACCCGCAACAAATGTGCTTAACCTGAATATAAATTAACTATGCCTTATATTATGCAGAACATTAACCGTGTCACACACAGCCTACAGTTGCCTTGATGGTGTACCCGTTTTTTTTGTATTAATGCACCGTCTTTGGTCGAAGTTTTTTTTTTCCCATGTGCAGAAGGGAACAGTCAGTCATTCACGCTGGGCATACATTACGTTTGGCATACATGACAAAATGCAAATCTACAGCCCTTTTTGTCATTCCACTGCTGGAAGAGGACCTCCCCACACAGTGTAAGGTCAGTGCAGGTTGTTGAAGAAGGGGAGCATCGACTTGGGAGCAAAGAAGTACAGGACAATAATGGATTCTTCTGCACTGTCCCCCGCTGACAGGGTAGCGCCTCAGTCACGTACAACTCGCTTTGTGCGTAACGATCGGCAAACACAGTCCAAGCTTTAAACCCTGCTTGGCTTCCAAAGTTTTGCCGAGTGATCGGGGCACATTCTAGGTAAATGGGTCACAGGCTGGCTCATAGCGTGAGATTAAAATCTTTTTTTTTTAATCTTGAATCCGATCAGCCATATGCTACTAATTTTGGTGGGTGCGGTTATGCCTGTTTTGTTTAAACCAATAAGTCTGTTGTGAAATGCTTTTGGGGTCTTGTCCAATTGATTTTTTAAGGTTTATCTGGAAAGAATGTGTGAAACGGCGCAGGTGGTGGGTGTGTAATGTGGAGTGTCCCATGTGCTTACAATGGGAAGAAACATGATCCTACCAATGCGAAGTAGTAGCCTGGAGTGTGGCTCATGTGTGATGTCTGTCCATTCTAAATACTTGTAAAAAATGCACTTTCACAGACCGCACATGGAAATCATATGTACAGTCTTACATTTTACAGCACCAGGATCTAATGTATAATTTGTTATCATTGTTTATATCAGCAAATGTGTATAATGTTCACTTTAAATAATTTGATACATCGAATAAAGATGTTTTACTGGGACTCTCATTCTGGAGAAAATATCAGAACGTTGCACCATAGACGCATTTCCTTATGTCTGTGTGGGTCCAGTCCCCCGGCAAGTATGCATCTTGCTCCGAGTTGAGAATAGCACCTGCGTGGGAGTTCACTTTCCATGAGCTCACCAGTGAACGTCTCTCGCAGAGTTTACCAAACTCCAGTCGTCGCAGCCCCACCAAGGTCAGCTTTGTTAGACATTGACCAATATTGGTTAAGTCGGCGCGCGCGCGCACACACACACACCCTGCGATTGTTCCCGCGCCGTCTCTTGTCAGATCTGCGGCGTAATCGTCGCGTTTGACAAGGAGCGGAGAGGGAGTGGGTGGCACTGCGTATTTCGTAGATGTCCTTGTATAAATCTAGTGGAGAGACCCACAGATTTCCAAATTCTTGGTTCTTTCGGTAAAGTCACGCCTGATGAAGACCGCTCATGTTGCGAGCGATCGAAACGTCGTGGGTTTTTTGCTTTTAATTTTATTATTTTATTTTCTATCTACGTGATTTTACCGAAAGAACCAAGAATATGAAGTCCTGCAGTCGGGAAAGTTTTTAAGTCAAGATTGTTTCAATTCAAAATATTGAAAGGGTCGCTCCTTCCCGGCTTCCGCTCTGGAGGACTGGGATTCTCTTCCATTGGAATCTCGTGAAGTTGAGACCTAACAGTTAACAAGTCTATAACAACAAGTGCTTCGTTTCGTGTGAAGCGTCTGGAGATGCGATTACATAGAGACGCTATATAAATGTTAATTGTTTTGTAAAATAGAAAATTACACGGAACACACGTTTAGAATTGCATTCCCATGGCACACGGATAGTTAACACATTGTCGCGTGTGTGTACTGCACCGTACGTAGCCAACATTCGCACAGCACGCATTCCCTTGGCACTTTCACGCAGCACACGTGGCGCACACCCGCACTGCCACCACATTCGCAGCAACTGTTTTGCACAATGTATATTGTAATCTGTAAAAGACTTGACAAATACTGATCAGTATAACACGTAGGCTTTCGCGACCAACAAAGATTTTTGGGTTAGTAGATCCACATTTACAATTTATGGATTTTCTCTCCAACCCACCGGTGGGCTGAAGTAACTAATTGGCGCGTTTTGTTAAAGTGCCAAACCTTACTGGCTGTCAGGTGGTGGAGGGTTAGGGGCCGTCCATAAATGACGTCACACATCTAGGGGGGGAGTCAGACGTTTGTGACGATGTGTGATGGGGGGGGGGGGTGAAACGTGACGTCACATCAAAATGCGCAACTTTAAATATAAACACGTTCTACTTATTAATTAAATAGACTTTTTAATAAATGTTTCTCCTACAACAGAGTGCAGCGCCACATTAAATACGCACTACAATGACAAGAGTTTAAAGCTATTTGAAGCATGTTTTATTTTCAAAATGGAAATATGGGTGGGGGGGGGGCAGAGCTTTGTGACGTCATATTTGAGGGGGTCTGACTTTTTGTGACACCGTGTGACTTCATTTATGGACGGCCCCTTACGGCACATTTAGACTGGCGCGATCTAACCCAAAAAAACCTTTATTAGCAAATACCCATCAAGGGAAAAAGCACAAGTTTTAAATCGCACACTTGTACTGAGTGTGTGTTACTTCAAACACGCTGGGGGTTGGTGCGGCGTGCGCAGCTTTAGTTTTTGTTCGCTGTTTTTTTCTCTCTTTAAAGTCGTTTTTTCTTCTTATAAGCACCAGGGTCCAGGTCGACCACACCAGGGCAGTGATCACCTCCCAGACGAGCGCGTTCGTGGATTTCGCAAATCTGTTCGTGATTCGCCACCCTTTTCTTCGAATGGATCACAGGCGTGCATAACTGGAGGTTGCTCATTTGTAATATGGGAGAGAGGAGTTCGGAGCCATTTTCTCCCCCATGCAATTCCCTCGAGATATTATTTATAGCAGGGGTCCCCAACCCCCTGGCCGCGGACCGGTATCGGTCCGTGGCCTGTTAGGAACCAGTCCGCACAGCAGCAGCAGGAGGTGAGAGCGGTGAGTCCGCGCGTGGCCCTCCCCCATTATTTTATTATTTACCACTTCCGTCCGCGCCTCTTTCCCGCACTGCGCACTTGTCTCAGTCACAGTGTTGATAAGCCCACAAGCTCTAACCCCTAGTAGCCAAAATTAGTTTTAAAAAACGTCGCTGGAGAGCTTCTTTGAAAAGGGGGAAAGACCCAATGATGAACCCCCCCACTCCGTGAAAAAATTGTTTTTCACGAAACCGGTCCCTGGTGCCAAAAAGGATGGGGACCGCTGATAGGACACCAATGCAGATTTTTTAAAGTGTTTTCACGCCGAGAGGGCAATAACTTGATCCAGAATACAATGGTTCTCAACAAGATTTGTAATTTAACTATGCCTTGATTCGTTGTGCACGATTGACACTATGCACAAGAACGCGAACCCACTGGCGGATAATTTTTATTGCCAACCAAGTATACAACCAACTCACAACTCTCGAGCGACAGTAAGAGCACAGCAACCACCACGCCCTGCTCTAATAAGGCGACGCAGTGGTGTGTAGTGTCCAGGGTAGTCCAAATGGCTTGTGACCCCCCCATTGACCCCCAATTTTTTTTCGTACGAGTGTTCATTTCTGTCTTTAATAAGCCTTAAAATATTACGTTTTACAGTCTTAAACGGGGGTCGCAAGACATCTGGACGACCCTGCACAATGTGTACTTGTTAGGAATGATAATTGTATAACCCACGACCTCAAACCGTGGACCACGTGGTTAACGCCGCTGCCCGCGTTTTATCAGTCGCCGGCGGCGTTTCATATTTCCACCATGCGACTCCTAAAGCCCTCACCCCCTCCCTTTTTATTTACACTGGATCCATCGCCAGTCCTCGCCTGAACTTGTGAAAGTTGTTTCACAACTCGGCACCACGTAAAAGAAGAACAGTCGTGGAAGATAGTCGTCGGGGAGAAAAGCCAAAGGTGAAATGCAAGTGTGCCTTATTTGGTGTTGGGTTTTTTTTTCCCTATTTCTGCCCGACCAAAAATATCTCCTGAATTTGGCAACCACACAGCCTGCCTCCAGCCCACACCCTCATCACCATCACCCGCGCGATTCTCCCAACCACGCATCCAGCCCAAGCCGACTCCGCTCAACGTGACGCACTGCGGCGCAAACAATTCACTCTACGACAGAGATCATCACGTTTCAGTTCCCGTGCCCTAGCAGTGAGTCCCGAGAGAGAGAGATAGCGCAGGATACGCGACAGTGTCCACTGCACGAGGCGGCGTGAAGCGCCTCTGGCTTTGCTGTGCCTTGTAGCCTGAACACGGCGAGATGGTAACGACTGCCGTGCGCAGCCTGTGACCAAATGAACCCGGAATTCGCCCCGTCTCGTCGAGGCTCGCAAGGTAAGGAGGGGATAAGCCTGGAAGATTGCTAGGATTGGGTGAACACGGTAGAGCAGTGTGTTGGGTTAGCGGCTGCAGGGTTTGCATTGGCAGCAGAGGGGGGAGTGCATAATAATGCATTGTACACTACTTCCACGAGTCCTCTTTCGTACTCATTTTGGCTAAATCGCACTGGCCAGCGTGAAGTTTGGCCAAATTAAAACCCAAGGCGCGCGAGGTTGGGAGGCCCTCGTATCCAGCCGTGGATTGACAAAAGATCAGGGCAGTAAATTGTAACCTGCATGTTGGAGAGTGTAAATATGTAATGGTTACTTAACGTTAATTCTTAACTAAATGACGCGTCGAATCGAGAGTGCAGGTGAAATGAGCAACTTCTGAGACACGTCGTGTAGAGGGCTTATTAATTCTCACACTGAGCACAACACAGGCCTATACATATATATACACACAGGTCTCCACCCACTGGGTACAACACTGAGTAATATATACACACGTCTCTACTTTAGCTACGCACAGCCGACCTCTCTACATAGTCCCATCACCTACATCCAACCGCACAGCTGACTGACTGGCGTGACGATGACGGCGATGGGAGCCGTGCGGAGGATCTTCCATGCGGGTCGGACGACAGCGAGCAGCCGGGACCCTGCAACAACCCTGAACCCTCGGTTCCATCCCCCTTATATACCTCTCGACGTGGCCAGGCCCCGCCTCTGGCCACGCCCCCTTCAAGAACCTTCGAGCAGGTTTTCGGAGCTTCCCGACGTACCCCACCTTTAACCTTTAACCCAGACACGCCCCTCCCCCCCCCTTCTGATTAGTTGTTACATAACTTTGCCCATACCCGTGATTACCCTTCCAGGTCGACAGGTGGCACCCTATCATTACACTGATATGTACTTGTGTATTTTGCGTCACCTCGCTCCAGCCACTAACAAAAAAATATTCTTGAATCAAATCGCGACCCTAACTTCTTTACAATTTATTGAATCACGAAGATGCAGTTCGTTATGCATCTCTACTTGATAGCTATGCAGGATGTTACATCAATTAATTCGTCTGTACTTGCAGGTAAGGATTGCTACTTTGATCCCCATTAGACTTTGGGACCTACATTACCATGCAGTTTTTGTCCAAGCAACTTCTGTACCGGTTTCCACATTGTGGGCCTTATCAGCAGTCAGGCCTGCTAAACGAATATAACAACACGGTTTGACTACTTTAGATGCACATTTTTTTTATATCACTCCCTTCAAATGTTCATTAAATGAGATGCTAATTTAGATATCTTCACGCTGGTCAGTGCGGGACGGTGAACCAGGCGCGTTCAGATATCACCCACCGATGTTTGCCGTGGCCAGGAAATTGGAACTCGGGTATCCAGCATGCTGAGAACCACTGCGCACCCATCGCTGCTGCACACGTGTTGTCAATCTTTCGTCTGGGTGATGGCAACGCAGGACATCCATGTGGTCAAGATGGATAACCGCGTCAGGAGCAACGGAGCGTATCGTCGCTGCGATGTCCCCTTCGTATTTGCGAATCGGGCATTGCATCGTTCCTTGTTTTACGGTCTGTTCTGGACGACCACGT